AAAAAATATAACTCAGTACTCACTGCAGTGAGTGACAGAGAACGCATTTTCTCGTCGACGAAAACTTGAGGTCACGGACAGACAGACGGACGGACATTGCGAGCACAATAGTGCATTTTTTCCATAAATGAGAAAATGCGCTTAAAAACGATAATCACATTTTTTAAAACTATGATTAATACATCGAAAATTCGACCCTATAACTTGCGTAAAGCATACAAACAAACATCCAAACAGCACAAACATTCAATTAACTCAACCATTCATACCGAATATTAAAAAACACACCTAATAACCGCACACAAACAAACACAGCGCCTGCAGCAACAGCAATCAAAGGCACAAACGAAGCAGCACAGCGAGCAGCACTCGCCCGCGCCTGACCTCTGACACAACCGTACTCGAGGCTGTGTGAGTGTGTTTGTTTGTGTGTGTGCCAGTGTGTGTGTGTGGCGCGGGTGTTTGTGCGTATGTGTAGATGTACGTGCCATGGTGTGTGTATATGTGTGTGTGTATAGACCCACATGAATTATATAGCGTACAAGTGTATGGTTAAAGATATTTAATAGCCTTCTGCCTGGGTCTCATACGTTGAATTTACTGTACACTTTATAAATATCAAATAAATAAAATTAAATAACATTAATGTATAAACCTAATCAATCTATCACAGAATAACAACCGAATAAACGGAAAAAATGGTGCTTAACTTCAATAACCAGCTTCTTTATATTTGTACAGCATTATATGTAGAAGTCAACAACATTGAACAAAATTACATAACTTTGCGTTACGACGCTCTGCGTATAGTGCATTTACGCAATACTTCCTGATCTTGCGTAATCTGCCTCTGGTAATAACTGTAATACTACCTCATGCCATCAGATAAATTAAGTTTAAAACAATGAGCGAAACCAGAAGTAATTTGAAAAAGCTCGACATGACATACGACGTAAACTTCATTAACATATTCTTATTGTTGCATGGAGATATGATATACAGTCATGCTGCATCGAAAACATTCCTTTAGTGTGACACTTTCTAATCAGCAACGAGGTAATCTGATAAGAAAATTCAGTCATCTCAAAATATTTTATATGTTTTTGCCAAGATAGGGTAATGTTAAGTTTCTTTCAAAAAGGTCTTTATTAACGCCCTCTCAAAGTATTTTATGTAGTTTTGCCAAGGCCCTATAGGGTAATGTTAAGTTTCTTTCAAAAAAGGTCTTTATTAACGCCCGGATATAAAATATTAATTTTACGTTCATATGTGATTCAGTTTCATTGATCTTGTGTAACTAAAGACATTTTATCCTTATTTTATTTTTAAAATGTGAAGCCTTTGTAAGTTTCCCCTGAATCATAAATATAATTTTCCTCCTCACGTTGCCAGAATAATGGACAATATTTATTTCCTTCGACTGATAACGATTTACCAGGCCGTCGATTTCCAAGAACATTCTTATCTTTTCCGGTGTCGGGAGAAGCGATAATGCAAATGACCTAGCACGGCACTTGAGGGAAATGTATAATCATAATTGTAAATTGTGTACGTATTTTTTAATGCGTGAAACACAAGATAAACTAAGAAAGTCGGATAAGAATAAAGCTTAGTTTGAAAACTAATGCCTGTACACTTGGCGTGGCAGATGCAACAGATGCCTGTTGCTGCAGCGGTGGCAACATAAATGAGTTCCCGCTGAGTTGAACGACTAAATTTCGATGAATACATTGGCAAAAACAGATAGATGACTGCTGTTACAGAGGATGCAATATAGGAATGAGTTGCCACTGAGGTGACAGAAGGATAAAAAGCTGTAAAAATCGATTACTTTTTCGGCAAAAAGTGATGATGTTATGGCTGCTGAGGCAACAGTTGGTTCTATCGTATTATGTGTTTTATGGATAACTGATTTCAATGGATAACGATAAACAACAACAAAAACCGAATAACTGCATACATAAAGATTATTAAGTAAACAAATTGCACTTGTCCTGTTGAAGCGATAACAGATGGTGGAGGGATCTTATCAGCAACATGAGCGCGGCGTCTGTTGCTGTTGCTTAGGTCGGTAGGGCAGTTGGCACGCATGCGGTTGTGCTGCATTGCACCTCTTTATGTTATCTTGCTTTTTCGTTATTGAATGAAGCTCTGTGATTGGCAGACAACGGAGGAGGCGCCAATTGCACGATCTCGTCATCACTAGCCAATCAGCACCGACTGCATCATAGCCAAAAATAACGCGAGTTGCTGCGTCGACGATCGGAACCGTCCGTGGCCGACGCTGCGTCGTTGTCGGCAGTTCAAGAAGCTGCCAACTTCAGTGGCATGGTGAACAGTGCGATGAGTGTGAGGTGGCTGGAGCTGAGTGCCGACTCTTATATTAATTCTTCATTTCACGCTTATTATCTCAAGAAAAGGAGAAGACAACGCTGAGGTGCAGCAATATTGTATTCATTACGAACTGAGGTCGCACGGCGATCAGGGTGAACTATTTCAATTTTTTGAAGGTCCTCGTTAATAAGCTTTATTCAGAAAAATTTCTATTACAAGTTATAAATAGGAAAACTTCGAACATACTTCGCAAGATCTTCGCATAACACAGGTTTGTTTTAGCATTTAATACATGTTTTTGCAAGTTGCCCTCTTTGGTAGAGGGTCGTGCGAAAGAAAGTTTTCGTGTTAACCCTCCACAACGCAACCCGATCGAATCATGCCTTCTAAAACCTTAATCATTGATAAAGATTAAGTTTACACATTTAATACGAATAAATTTTTAAGTTTTAATCGAAATAAATAAGATAATGGCGGTTAACTATTCCTTTAAACCAAACTTATATGAAATTTTTGCAGTGAACGATCACGCTACGTTTTTACTTTCTTTTGCAGTAATGAGATTTCTTCAGTGAAATTTCATAAAATTTCTAAAGAAATGACTAACTAAGAACCAACTAGCGTTTGTTACTAACAACAATGAATAATTGGATTGTTTATACTCAGCAAGACAATCCTTATACCTGAGCATGTACAAGGAATACGTAAGCATTCATGGCGTATGTTTCATTAAATTTTCATATATATCTTTTTTATATTTATAAACTTATTACCATATGCTTTAACGTAAACAGCAAATTGAAGTAGGCAGTAATTCAGTATTATTTATCAACTTTATAGTAAAAAATGCACACTAGATATGATAAAATCTGATAATTTTACTAAAAAAATAGAAGTGAAGAGTAAATAGCTCCTTATTAATTAAAATCGATTTGATATCAATTATTGGCCATCAAAAAAAATATAATTTGAATGATATCATTCACTGCAACCTCTCATTTATGTATACTGTATATAATAAACTTCTATATTTACATATAGGTAACTGGGTGAGGTAGGAATTTTCTAGGTGACATATGCTAGGCAACTACTACATGTCTTTTAATAGAGAATTTTGAGGGAGGCAAATAATTAAATGTTGACTTACTCAACTAATCGACTTTAACTGTTGTTTCATAAAGAGACTTCAGTGAAAAGATATTTTTGGGATTTTGGCATGATTTTATGTTAATTCATCTCCACAATGAACATTAAATTCAAAAATTCAAATTTTTATTTACTTGCAATTGTAGGACTGTGCAGGGCTATCAAATTTTGCTATTTGAATGTTTATAATTGTGCCAATAATATTTCATACTGAGTATTAAAGAACTCTACACTTTGCTTTGTATTTTAAGAAATTGTTCAAAAATTGCATAAATCTAAATCATGCTTGCAAACAGACAGTTTTCTTTAGTTGGCACCTACGACTTCAATGACTTCTGATTTCAAAAACACTTCTCACTTGCAGGTCACATTTAATTATTTTTTTTTACTTCTCACTCACTTCTTTTTTTTGTCACTTCTCAAAAAAGTTCCGTCAAGTTACTGCATTTTACTGGTAGTTAATACCAGTTATCATATTGAATCAGTTAACTATGAAATTTATATTTACTAAAAATATTGAAATTTTCATTTAAATACCTTTGTCATTGAATTCAATCAGTAACTTCGCATTATACCAGCGAATTGTATATGCCGACATATATCACTCGAGTAATAGTTTTTCACAAGCAGGAGGCATTCAGCAACAAACATGTTTAGTATTATGTTCATAGCAGTAATTTTAGCTTGCAAAACAATTTCTCACAGCAGTGCTATAGCTTTTTTACTCTGAGTTCTCTTCTGTTTTCATAGCACAAAGCAACCCGACACCCACCCTGATGCAACTAAGACACAAGACTGTCAGTGAAGATTGTGAAATCTAATTGGATTCTCATGTTGATTGTAACTAATTCAGCCCTCAAAATATACAGAGCAAAAGGACAAATGATTGACAGGGCATCAAAACCTGCCTCATTACAATTCAACTCATGTCTATATTCTCCCGCAAGCAAACCAAAGGAACGAACTAAAAAACGATGATACGCGCAACATTGGCTCTGTTGTACCTACTTCATACTGCAGCTTGTATCGTAAGGATGTAAAAGATGTTAGATAAGTTAGATATTCGTACAGAGTTCCATTCAAGATGTAGTAAATATTATTATCTCGTAAACTAGAATGAAACTTCACCTTCAAACAACTGCAGCTTGTATCGTAAGGATGTATACGAGAACAACTCATGTCTATATTCTCCCGCAAGCAAACCAAAGGAACGAACTAAAAAACGATGATACGCGCAACATTGGCTCTGTTGTACCTACTTCATACAGCAGCTTGTAGCGTAAGGATGTAAAAGATGTTAAATAAGTTAGATGTTCGTACAGATTTCCACTAAAACTGTAGTAAATATTAGTATCTCGCAAACTAGAATGAACGAAAGCATCCATGCAGTTGTTCCATGCAGTCAAACTATCGCCAGTCATGAAAAGATCCGGGCAAATAACACGATATTAGATCTTCTGTGAACAAGGCACGAAAAGGAAAAGAATCGGCGACAGGCCACATCAGGCCTACACTTCAGCGCCGACATCACTATGTTATGTTATGCTATGTTATGTTTGAAACCCAGGGATCAATTGAGTTCAGTAATGTTCGTCGAAGCTGTCATAAGAGTTAATATTTCATATTAATAAGAATTAATGTCATATTTCCCGCATGGTAAAGTTTTCAGTTGTTTTCTTTGAAGCACCAAGTACAAAAATAAGCGTCGCATATATGGAAGATATAAACGAATTGTATTCAGGAACCATTCATAGATCTTTCATGAAGAATTATAAAAATATTCAAACTTCATTTTTTTGTTCGATTTTTGTTGATGACAATATAATAAATGACTAGTCAGATCTCAATTTGTTTCCAAGCCAGTAGATTTGCGTGCTAATTAATCCGATGCTATAATTATTCAAATAATAATAAGGGTAATAATTATTATTACTTTTCTGGTATGCTAGCATTTTTCTTGTATGTTATAGGAAACGAATGTTTGCAGGCATGTCGATGGCCAAAAAACTTTATCTTAAAAACATATTTTTATACGTCATCGCTGTAACGTAAGTAATTAAGGTCTAAGTAACCTTTCAAATCTTTTTAATTTCAAATTAACTGGTTATTACCAAAATAAAACATACATACAAGAAAGTAACAAAAATAGAATAATAAAAAAACGAAGGCCAACTGTATAGGAGACGTTTGCCGAGTCCTTAAATTATAAAGAGAAACTTGGATGGGAAAAAAGGATGTGAGAAAGAGAGCAAGCACATGAAGGTTTAAAATTTAAAGAGAAACTGAGATGAGATGAGAGAAAGAGAGCAAGCCCATGAAGGTTTAAATTTTAAAGAGAAACTGAGATGAGAAGAGAGAAAGAGAGCAAGCACATGAAGGTTGAAATTTTAAAGAGAAACTGAGATGAGAAGAGAGAAAGAGAGCAAGCCCATGAAGGTTGAAATTTTAAAGAGAAAATGAGATGAGAAGAGAGAAAAAGAGCAAGCCCATGAAGGTTTAAATAGTAAAGAGAAACTGAAATGCGAAGATGAGAAAGAGAGCAAGCACATGAAAGTTGAACAGTGATGAGTGATACTCACAAGAGCTCATAATACACTACATCCAATACACAATATACAAGTGTTTACACAAGTGTTCACAATACACGATACATAAATGCAATATAAAACGGCGCCATTTTGTTGCAGACAAAACGTCAAGATATGACGCTAGCGGTTTTCTGAAATATCTTTTGAATTTAATAGATGATGCCAATAGTTGAATTTCTCAAGATTTTAGCAGTAGTAAATGAATTCAAGCTCGTAACTTGAGGTGCTTGGATGACCGTTGATAAACAAACTACCGATACGGTAGTAATTATCCTAAATTATTGCTAAAACGCTTCATAATCCATCTGAAAGTAACGTGCTCGTACGTGTAAAAACACTCGCTTATTATGCAGAAACGCGGGCCGTAGCTCGTATCCAAACCAACTACGAGCACGTCATGTGTAGCCACCGTACGTACGCCCTGATTGTCCGTATGTTTTCTTTTTATATGTCAGGATGGTTCGAGTCGTGCATCGTGCTTATATTTCTTGCTTCAATCATTGTGTGGATCGTACTTATTTTACATTGTAGTTGTGATTGTAGCATAGTATTGACATGGTGTATTGCGCCTATTACCATGGTAATCGCATATGATTGAACGCTCACGCATTTTTTGGGAGTGCTCATACTCGAGACTCTCATAGATAATCATACATTTTGCGTGACTTTAACAAAATCTGGTAGAACCCGGAAGGATGAAATAGTGTTCATAAAGTTTTTGACCGGTATTGAGTGTCCAAAACTAAGTGTTTATTCTCTTCGAAATCAATTAGGCAATTAAAGCTATACAGACTACTGAACAAATTCTTCTGGCCTTCATATCAAGTGCCCTCGCTAACTAATACAAAAGAATAAAATAAACGAGTCTCGCAGTAATTTTTGCTAAATAATTATTGCTCAGACTTGTCCAAGAATATGCTGTGAGTTTGATTCAACTACAACCAGATCTGCTGAATCTCTTCAACATAATCTCTAGTTCAATGAGTGCCTGCGAATCTTTTGCTTAAATTCCCAATGTCTTTATATTTATTTATTATTCTGAAGAATATCTTAATTAATGTTAACGATCCATGCCCCGATCTGTACTGCAATTAAATCACAATTGCAAGCAAATGAACCAGCAACCAGTTTTGCACGACGACGATATCGTCTGTCGCGCCTAAACAAGAGGATTTGATGGAAGAGCTTCTGTTGAACTGCAAGCGCTTGAGCGGCGGCCGCTTCCAAATTAGCAGCTGTTTTGTGACTCTCAATGGACACCTGGGCCTATACTTTCAGAAAAAGTTAAGAGATCGTAAGTTCATCAGCCAATCATTGACGGCCTTTCAAGCAAAATCCACCAATCATAGACAACAAAATAGAGCGTAAGTACTTACGTTCACTTAACGAGTTTTGAAAGTATGGACACCTGGGCCTATACTTTCAGAAAAAGTTAGGAGATCGTAAGTTCATCAGCCAATCATTAACGGTCTTTCGAGCAAAATCCACCAATCATAGACAAGAAAATAGAGCGTAAGTACTTACGTTCACTTAGCCA